AGCAAAGAAATTAAAAGTTTTTGACTATGGAAAACGTTACTATTGTTTTAAACGAGGCTCCAGAGGATAAGTCTTATTAATGAAAGTGGTACTAATATTTCGTTTAAATGGGGCATGTCGGCGTGCAGAATTGCGCAGTTTAACTGTTAAAGATATAGAGACACTGGGAGGATTTTGGTTATAACTTTACCAAAATCAAAAAGGTATTTGCCGTGGGATCAGAGTGCAACGGATATAAAATTTACCATAAGTATTTATTTACAATTGAGACCCAAACAAGTAAAATACATTAGATTTTTCATTTACTATAATCACGGTAAGTGCACAAATACAACCAGTTGGCATCAACAGTTACACTAGACATTGCTTGAGAAGGACTTCTGCCACCTTCCTCGCTGACAATGGAGCTGAAGTTCAAACACTTAAAAGACATGGAGGATGGCAGTCAACTAGTATGGCTGAAGGGTATATCGAGGAAAACATCGTCAATAAGTTGAAAATTTCAAAAAGTATATTTCATCAGCAAGAATTAGTGGCACCTCAAGATCATTCCGGAATGCAGATAGAGAATCATAATAGTTTTCAGGAAGAACAAATAGAATCGAATAAATTTAGCGTTGTTGCATATTATCAGTCAAAATACGAAAAAGTTGTTTATTTCTAATTTTATTAGTTTACATATGTGGGACAGTTGATTTTTTTAAATATTCAAATCAGGAAAGCAAAAAGAAAATAGCGAAGTGTCCAGTAATAACCTTCACATCTCGAAATAATTTAAAACTATGACGCTTTTACCATTACATGAAACAAGTTCATATAATAAAAATCTTGAGCTATAACAAATCCGAAATGACTGTAGTAACCTTGTCGAGACAAATTAACATAAATAAAAATAAATAATTTCATGAAATATGTAGTGTAATTTTTAGTCCTTTAGCTGTTGAACTTTAAAGGTTAATGGAAAGTTTCATTCACTTCAAACATCACTGTAAGAAAGGAATGTTCAAAGCTAGGTGTAATCAAAAATATTTCTAATTACGATAATTTATTTTTTTTCCAGAGTGCATCTTTCCGCATCCGCATTTAGTTTGTATTAAATAACTGTTATTACTCTATGTTTTTGTAGCTATTCCTTACCAGTTTACCTTCAAATCGACTGTTATTTTTTATGACAGTTGATTAAGGAACAAGCCCGATTGTTTTTGTGCAACTAATATATTTTGATTAGTTTTACATTAATAGTACATCAATTTTACTCATCACAATATTCCCCTATGACATTTACATTTTCCTACGTTAAACCCTAATTGATGAACCAATGATATTAAGTTAGCTTGTAAGAATGTAGGTAAAAAAGAAAGCTTAGCTTAGCTACTTTTGTTAGTGACAGCTGCTGTAACACACTAGATTCATATTTATAATATACAGGTGTTCCAATTAAACTCCACCTGGAAAATATCGGAATTTAAAAAAACAGAAAAACCTGAGACACGACACGTCGATCTTCTTTTCAGGGGAGATACGTAATGGCGTAAATGTTGGTGTCTTGGAAGCTACCCCTTAAGCAGAAATGTAATATACCCTTAAACTTTAAACGGCAGCCTATGTTGAGTGACACCTCATTTTAACGCTTTTTCAATTCTGCTCACGATGACGTACGACTTTTTAAATTTTGTTTTGAACATGACAATAAAATCATTACTTACAAAAAATAAGACAAAATATCAATGAATGAGAGAATGTTATTATATTAAATGTTCAAATTGGTTTTCCATACAATAATAAAAACTTTGCTTCATTTCCGAATGAACTTTCGAAACATTTCAGTCGTTATCTGACGACATTCTTCAACAGTTCGCTAACGCTTCTCAAGTGAGTCGGTCGTGTTGCATAAATTTTCGATTTTAAGAGTCCCCCATAGAAATGTCTTAGATCTGACGATCTGGGAGGCCACTCAATTTAACCTCTGCGTGCCTATCCAGTTATTTCAAAAGTTTTGAGTAAGAAAATCACGCACAGCTACGACATAATGTGTTGGAGCACCATTCTGATTAAACCACACATCCTCTTCTGGCAAAGCGTTGTCATTTTCTAATACTTCCACAATCATCTGGTAGATCTAGTAGATTCAGATACTTGTTTCCATCCAGATTTCCCAGTAGGAAGAAAGACCGTATGAGGTGATCTCCCAGTATGCCCGCCCAAACATTTCGGATGCTGCGTATGAATTTCATGAAAAATGCGCGAATTTTTATGACTCAGGTAGCAGCAATTATGGCAGTTTACTCGAACATCCAGTTGCAACGTACATTGATCGGAAAAACGGATTGAATATAAAAAATTTGGATTCCTTCGTGCATGGTCAATCATTTCTTTACAGAACTGCAAGCAAATTGTACCAAATTAATTTTGTATGGGTGAGGCTTGAGAATTTTTAAGATTCGGCGGCAACTAGGTACTAGAATTTCCTGAAGTACTTCTAAGTTTCCTGAGACCTAAATTTGGTTCCATTGCGATGTGACCCAGGACAACTATCTGACTACCCTCATTATGTACGACTTGTTCACGTTGATGATTTCTGTTTGCAACCGATCTTTGTCAGGATGACGATTACATGTCTTTATTCATTGTAGAACAAACTAATTATTTCCACTTTTTCAGCAATTGTATAAACTAATTTTCACTAATTGGAGATCAGTCGACTTTGTGATGATTTTACGGGGAAGACAAGACGAGACAATACTGTCTCGTTTAAAGTAAAACAGGTAAAACAGTTGAACAGGCATGATGACAGTAACCAAGAATCACTAAAATTATGTATTTATCTAATAAAATACGATTCATGGATTATAAAAAACGGATTTATTTTTATATTATGAGCGAGATTGATAATATTTTTGATAAAATAAAAGTACAAATTACAGCAAACTGCCATGATAGGTTGAACACCAATCAGAGCGAATTACGTCACATCTATGTAAATGTTATCTTGTGTCTTGTGTGTTTAAATATTTTGTGTTTCAGTTGCTTAGTTTTGTGTTACCAAAACCATAATCAGGAAACGTAAGGTACTTGAAAAGTTTCTAAAAGAAGGAAAGAAAATAAGGCTCAACAACTGAGAGTTAATAAAATATCAAAAATACTATGTTTGTGATCAAAAGTTTACCCATGCATAAATTGGTGCTGAAATACAAAGAACAGTCCTGCTACGCATTTTTGACAAACTCGTATTGACTGATGAAGGTGACATGAAGGTTGAAGAAGAGACGAGACATCAAAGCTGTTTTTGGCATGAGTTAAGTATATGGCAGAGTGACGGTCTCACAAGCGTTTGAATTTAGTCGGTGCAAAACCAATGATACAACTCTGATCACATTAATAAATGGGAGGAAAAATCTCAGACGCATCGGCCATGAGTCGCGATAGAATGTTGGAGGATGAATTGAGGAAAACTGTAAGTACTAGTTTGGGGAAAAAATGTAAAAAATGTGGTATAATGCTTTGCAAAAACGATACCAAGATCGCCTAATGGAATCTGTGAAGACAGTATTATTGAAATTAAATATACCACGAATATGAAGACTTTTAAAAATTATGTTGATAAACGAAAAACGGCCCAGAAGTTGGCAGCTACAACTGTATGTATTTAACAGGGCTTCAAAAGGGCTCTTTCGGTGTAGCTGATTGCAACTACAGTACAAATAAAAAAGTAGAAATAATTAATGTCACATTTGATGACAACTATGTATGTATCAGATTTTCTTAATGTCTCTTCATGGAAAGATAATGTGTATCCATTATTATACCAAAGTACAATTTGAGGGCATATACTATTATCGTAACTTTATATTTTGAATCTAGCAGCACAAAATATTACCACCTTTTGACAAACATAGATGTGACGTCACGTAGACGCCATGACACCGGTGACCGTTTTTGCGTGAGTTTAGACTTAAAATTAAAATGTCAATATTTTTCTACTAAACCTTTTATTTTCTACAGAAATAAGATATTTTTTGGAAATAGTAAATACTTTCGAACATCACAGAACAGTTTTTCAAAATCTGTCATCATGCCTACTGACAGAGTTTTGGTTTTGGCAAGTTTTTGTATTGACAGATAAACGAAAAATCAAAACAATTTTCTTTATCGAGAAATTGTTGAAGAATGTCGTCAGATAACGTCCGAAGAGTTTCGAAATTCTCATTTGGAAGTCGAGCAAAGATTTTATTATTGTATGAGAGCGCAGGGAAACCAATTTGAACATTTAATAAAATAACATTCCTTCATTCATTGATATTTTGTTTTATTCTTTAATTTATTGTCATATCCTAACCAAAATTTAAAAAGTCGTAAAAAAGCTTTAAAATGAGGTGTCACTCAATATAGGGTGCCATTTAAAGTTTAAGGGTATTTTATTAAAACCTAGCAGCTGCACTAAAAACTTTTGTTATGGTAGAAGATTGTACTAAAGTTACCATAATAAAATGGAATTGCAGCAATAACTAAAAAATAGCTATTAGCTGGTTTCCTTAGCAAAATGTTTTTGTTATGACGACCTTTCTGAGGCCTATTTAATCTACTTATATGATTCAAAGATATTTCCCTCAGTGCCCCTAGTAAGGTGATTAAATCTTTTACACTAAAATATGCCCTCTAATAGGCAATGTGATTGTTGAAAGTTTGAGAAAAAGAAAGGTACTCAAAATAATCGAAGATTTTTTACTTGGTGATTGTATTGTTAATATAATTTTTTTTTGATAGAATAATTTGAAGCACCATTCTGAATTAATTTGTACTACTTAAGAACACGCTGCTGTACCTATGCCATTTGTAAAACAAAATTCTTCTAAAATTAATGTTAAGGAAGATATCAAAGTATTCAGCAGAGAAAGGCATCCTGAGTTTTTTTATTTGTATAGTTATTTGTTAGTAACTTTTAAAGGTTTAAAAAGAAAAATGAGCTTTTTCTGAACATCTCAGATGAAGTGACACTTCGGACTAGGTATTTATTCATTTTTAGATTTGTACCTACAGGACATGCAAAACTAATACAATTTTACTAAAATAATAATAATACATTATATCACTTAATTTCTTTCCTATTGTCTCAGTTGTGGTTCAGGGTGTGCTGCAATCCATTGCAACGCCCTCGCAATTTGTGGTGGGATTGGTGGGGGAGTTGGGAGGTGAGCTCCTTGTGGTTGGAAACCATTCTCGTCGGCAACGTAGGTAAGCACAATTGGTATTCCCTCAGGGGAAGTGTATTGGAAGCCACCTTGAGCAGCTGTTCCTACGTCGGGTCCAATGGCTTTGGGACCTCCTTGTTCTTGAGCCGATATACCGTTTTCCGTCTCATACCTGTTGACAAATATTTCTAATTAATTCCAGACATAAAAAGTCCTTAAGATAAGATTGTTATGGATGAAATTATATATAAAGTTTATGACAATGACCTATTTAGAACTAAAATACTACCGAAATAAACACCATTTTTGAGTTTTCGATAAGTACTATGATCTTAGCACCTGCAAAAATAGTAGCAAAATAGTGAAAATACTGATTAAAATTTTAATGAGTGATCATGTAATTATTTTTCATTTTCTCAGTCACGAATCGACGGGAAATTTGAAAACTGAAAATATTTCAGATGTTTATTTCTTGTCATATGGTTTAAATACAAACATATATGGTAGGTAATACTTCTAAATAACTTTGAATGTATACGTATGTGTTAAAAAATTGTCAAAGGCATTATTGAAAATGTACTTACTCCCAGGCATATTGACCCTCTGGAGTTATATCTTGGTTCTGACGAAGAATGCGGATTTCTCTCTGATGAACTTGTGGTTGGGGCAAAGCATAGGCCGTAGCCAGTAAAATGGAGGCGACTACCTATAAAAATATTTCATTATATTAAACTTATTTTTCCATGGTCTCAATTCAAGCTATATAATATTTTTGTAATAGTTTTCTTTTAAAAAATCCTGTAGGTGCCTATAATTATTACGTTTTTTAAAATTATGCAGTAGATTACAAACATTATTCAATTATGGTGTAAAAAATATTATTTACTTGGTACTAAACAGATGCAGGTTTTGCAAAATATGGAGGATATTAAAAATTTACTACAATAATTATTAAATAGCTAATAGGATTTGTAAAGCTACTCAAAGGTAAAATTTCTTTCATCATTTTGAGAGTTTACAACTCTTTGAATGAGGTCCTATGCTAAAAGAAATGCAGAATAGCACCGTATTTCCTAGAATATCTACTAGAAATTACTACTACATTTTTTCAATAGAAAAATGTATTTAAATACTATAATAAAAAAAAACAAAAGGATTTCTTATGCAAATATGTGACATTTAGAAACATCTCCAACGTAAATTGAAACAGATTAAGTGGAATTTTTTACATCGTCCCAAGGATACAGTGGATGATAAATTTAGGAATTGCAAATGAAAGGATGGGTTAACCACACCATAATGAAAGCACATTCATTTGCATTTATTATTATATAATGTAAAGAATCAGGTGATATTTTATAATCTGAAATTAGTTTTCAACTTTTAATTTTTAAATATACCTACGGATGATAAGATGAAAGTGGATATTTTTCCTAAAGCAATATTTGTTATCCCGATCCTGATCGAAAATAATAGTTATTTATTGTATAAGTGTTTTAAGTAGCATTTTATCCACGCAAGAATATTTAAAAGCGAGAACATAGTCGAGAATTTAATATTCTTAAGTGGATAAAAACACGAATGCAATACAACGTTTTATCCATAATCACATCACATATTTGTGGAGTCGGGATTACTGGAATTTAATAAAAAAATATTCGCACAACTTGATATTTCTTACTAGTAATGAAATGTTGTAGGTTTTGTTATTATCAATTATTTAATAAACAGTTCTATCTGAATTTGGTAAAAATGCAAGAAAGTAATTGTGTTCCTGTGGCTGTTTTTGAAAAAAGTTCAAGAAGCAATTTTCCATTTATTGCCAGCGAAATCCAGGGACCATTACGAGAAAGCAGAATTTAACGAATGGAGGGAAAAACGGAGAGTAATTACAATAAATGAAGAAGTCATACTATCGTATTTTTTTTATTTGAAGAAAAAATATGTAATATCATCTATGTGGCCGAAATATGTTGAAGGCTACTATAAAGGTCTACAAAATATAGATATTGAAAAATATAACAAGCTTACTGCTTAATTGAAGAGTGAATCTAAAGGATATAAAGCAGTATTGGAAAGAGCACATATTGAAACATTTTTGACTGGGGCTTCCGATAAAAAATATTTAATGATTAAGGTAACCTTTTACGTGATGTTAGGTATATAGTGAACTTTGAATTATTTTAGGTTGCACTAATAATGGAGGTTTCTGGTGCCTGTCGATGCTGCGAATTGACTCATTTGAAAATTAGTGACGTACAGGAAATTGGCAGTTACCTACTTGTTTAATTACCTGACACCAAGACGAGCATTTCAAGAAAATTTAAAATTATGAAGAAGGATTTTGCGTGAATGCTGTTGAAATATACAGAAAATTTATTTCTCTGCACCCAATTCGCCTAACACAAGACACATTCTTTTTAAGATACATCAATCAAAAATGTACTTCTCAACCTGTTGGAATCATCACATTGGCGAAGGTACCTTCAATAGTTGCTTCATTCCTGAATATCGCAAATGCAGAAGCATATACTGGCCATTGTATAAGGCGTACAACAACAACAATAAAGGTGCTGATCTTACAACCATCAAACGGCATGGTGGATGGAAGAAGAAAATTATATTGAGGAGTTTATATCTAACAAATTTGATATTGCAAGGAAAATCCAAGGAATATACCTATCTGTTCCTTACAAAAAGAGACGTCTGTAACTTGTGCAAATTCTTCACAAACTTTAGCAGACGTTATGCGTTCCGAAAATGATGGCATCAATGCTACAAGGGTTATTATTAACGGAAAGGAAGTTAAATGTGATAAAAAAAACGAAATGTCTATTACTATAAATGTAAAGGTTAATGTTAATAAGTAAATAAATTAAATTTGATTTTTTATAGGTTTATTATTTCTTCATTATTCAACTAGTGAAATTGAGTTACTTTATTCCAGTAATACTAACAAGGAACGTAGGTCCCAAAATACTTCGTTATAGAAATTAATTCTCGTAGAAATGAAAATGTAGCTCCAATTATAAATTATTGAAATTCAATTCCTTCCAAAACAGTGTATGTTACTTGTGAAAATTACCATATTTTATTAGCATATTCCGTTTTAGAGATTACTGTACTCATAATACCATAATGAATAAAAAATACTGATCAATTGGATCAGCGAATTATTCTATAATGAACCTGACATGGCTTATATTTGAGCAATGGAAAATATTGTATTTTGCAATAATACATAAACTGACTTTTACGAACGAAAAACGTAATTTCACCTCAAACAGCAAATGGTATTTAAAAAATTTTTTACTCGTGCGATTTTAATGATCCGGTTGCTAATTCATAGACTACTACGATTTTTTTTGCAATCAATTTTTTCGAAAATTATTTTAGGGATTATTTTATTAAAATTATGGTAACGTGACGTTATTCAGCTTCGCTTAAGACCCCTCAATATTTATTGAAGAATACTTTTTTATAGCGCTTCAAAAGTTTTATTTATTGAATTTGTGTTTCCATTAAAATGTAGAAAGCATTTGAAATGCCTGAAAATTATTTATAATCTACAATATTGTTTCTCTACTTACTTGACAAATTTAAGTATTATTAAAATCTCACGTGTCAAAAATTTTTTATACTGGTCACACTGTATGAGTGGAAAACAATAATATCTACCTCAATCAGAATAATTTTTATAGCGGTCGTGAAGACTGTTTTAAATTTAGTTTATTATTTTTAGAAACAAAATTATTCGATCTAATTATGAATGGCAAAAATCAAGTTCACTGTCCCCATAATATTGAAACTTATAAACCAGAAACGAATAATATCTAAATATTTAGTTTTATCTTCCGAAATCCTTTCACTTAGAAATCAAAAATACTGAAATGATTATATCAGTTCTAAAATGAAAACAGGTGGTTCATATAAAATTTAAAGGAATTTAAATAATTTTAATAAAGTTAAACTATTAATGTTATTTTCAATATTAGTCGAATTTTGTAATTCCTAAATTTAAAACACAGTAATTAATTTTTATATACCTAAATATCATAATATATTCAAAAGAAAGTTAAAACCAAACTAAATACCCATTGCTGACATGCTGGAAGTGCAAGCAATAATCATTTTCATCAATCTACATAAAAACTTGGCGGCATCTTTGATCCACGTCCATAATTTAATTCGTTAGAGAGCAATTAATTTTTAATATATTTTTCAGTTTCTGTTTACTCACCAACTTGTACATTGTAAGTATATTGTTTCACTAAAGCTTGTCTTCAAACTGATGCATTCACATAAAAAAGGATTCGTATTTATACCAGCCCCCAAAAATATACGCATCGGTATTTGCACAACCATATTGTCTAATGAAATTTCTTTTTTTAAGGTCAAAAGAAATTAATTCAGTGGGTCCTATTCAATTATGCAACGCAGATATGGAGATCTTCATGATTTATGACTCAAACTGAGTGGTAACATTGTGCTGAAGACACTATCTCATCATTAATACATAATTTTTAGACACATTTGTGGATTATGAAAATATTCTTCAATTGATATATTGTTGTCGTTTATTAAATGCGGCTTAATTGCTTTTTAATATTTCATCATCAAAAATTCAGGTAAAAGAGGTTGATTTGTCATTAAATTAATTTAGAAAATTTGTATTAATTGTTATTGAATTTATTATCTGTGCAAAGAAGAGAAAAGACGAATATTAGTTTTCTACTAGACTTCATTGAATAATTTAGCATTATAATTACTTATTACCTTATGTTATACTCTACGGACAAGTATCTAATTGCTAACAGATCCTTCATCTCTATCTAATTGTAAAATAATACGAAAAAACAGAAAATGGCCGCTGTATAATAAGTATAATTGCGTAAATGTCTAAATAAACATAACATTACCTACATATTTAAACGGTATCTTTACAAAGGACCCCGAACTCTCATGAACACAAAGCTCAAGATTCATCCACACCCATAGATTCAAAGATATTTCCTCGTTGAGTTGCATAAGCAACATTTGATAAATCCCTAAATATCTCTTCGAGTGATAGTTGCAACCCCTAAATTTTTAAATGAGAAGTAGGATCTTGTGCTGCTTTATTTAAAAACTCTTCTCATTCTTTACTTGAAAATGCTATGGTTTCCATATTTACTGCAAAAATTTCAACGGAGTAGATGTTCAAAATGAGTTATTTTTTCTCAAAGGTTTAGTAAATTTGACCAAAAGTCAATTTCCATAAGGACCTGCGGGGTCCTTTCTTTTGTAGCTAAAAAATATTTTCTATCACTACAGATACGCAGAGAGGGTATTAGCAGTCAACTTTATAGCAAATAACGAAATGTTGTTAAAAATGATAATCAGCATTTGTCCATACCTGAAAAGATACTTTTCTATTAAATTCTAATTTAGAACCCAATCTTTTTTCCTTTCCAGTTTCCTCCAAATTGATTATAACGCCTTTTTGTATCTATACAACGATATTTATATGCCTTTCCTGTTCAGTTCTTTGTCCATTGTCCAAACAAGCTTTTCTTGACATTGATATTTAAGTAAGTTATATTGCTGCAACTTCAAGACAATACATACGTATCTGTTAGGTATTTATTGATTATTAAAATTCCAATAGATAAAGATAAGAAGTTGTTAAAAAAGTAAGAGTGCGCAAATAATAAATTTAATAAAGATGAAATTAAATGGAATTGAAAATAAAGTAACCAACGAAGTCATAATAAAAGTAGAGAAAATACCGATGATTGAATGGTATAAATTACTGCAACAATCAGTAGTCACCAGATTTCAATAGAAACAGTATAATACAAAACGAAATGTATAACTTCGAAAAGATAACTCTGAGTGAAATTGCAGAGATACAAAATTAACTTTCTGACGATATGTGATAGTACAGAAACATGGAATAATTCAATATATCAGACATTTTTTTTAAATGATGCTAAAGTTATTGACATGCACTGTATAATAAATGAAGTTTTAAGCTTTACGATGCCATATTTATTTATTTATTTATTTATTTATTTATTTTCAGTGCCGCCTTGTAATAAATACGATAATATAATATTTTCTGTTTCACAATGTAAAGCAAATTTTGAGGTAGATGTCCTCTCTACAAAATGTTTTGTTTATACATACATTCTTACAGTAATCAACATAATACCTATGTATATTTTAAACACTTCCTAATAACTGCTTTTAAAATTTAATGAAAAACTCACTTTCGGATAGTCACTCTTTCAGACATAATTGTAAATTTGGATTATCCTGGATATATAATTTCATTGCTTGTTTCTATTAATTAAAAAACCTGGAACGTAATTCATGCTTAACGATTTTTCGCGTCAAATGAAAATCTTTCAAGCAAAATTGCTAAAAAACGTTAATTATTATTATGTCTTTGATTAGAATGAAAGCGCAGTAATTGTTTTCTTAGCTATTAATTTAGTCATTAACGTATATGTGGCAGGTCTATAACTAACTATGTATTTATTATTTAATTATTTAATTCAATATTTTTGCCGCATTGAAAAGACCCAAAAGATCAGTCAAAGGGTTGATTTTATAAATTTAGTTTCAACTAACCAGAAATATATCACACTGAGACGTTTGAGGTTTTTAAAATCTCTTTTTTTTTTGTTTTTATCAACTAAATGCCAAATATGATAGTTTTTCGTTTTGTTTGTTTACCTTACATAGAGACTGAAATAAAAGATTACATAGAGATAAGCTACCATACAATATTTATTGTTATTTACCTAAATTCTTGTTTAATTCTATTGAATAATATGACCATTTTACTATGCATATTTGCATTTTTTTATTCCTCAAATTCTCACTTTCTAATGTAGTTCCCATGTTCTCGGATTCAAACATTTAAAAGTCTAGTTATTTCATCAACATAATATTTACTACTTTCACACGGTATACTGTAATTGCAGCCTTTAGAATTTTGTATCTCATTTTTCGATCAAGTTCTGTAAATAAATTTTTCTGGATATTGATATTGTTAACGAACTCGATTCTTGAATTTTTATCATCGGAAGAAATTAATTTTACTTATGACATAACATTTTAATACACCCTTCTTTGTGTTTATCTTTAAGCAGGTATCTATCAGTTTTTGTTCGTTTTCCAAGAACACTTCATCATATCCATCACTATTTTTTTTAAATTAAGAAGAGTAATTTGTTTCTGCTTCTAAAGTGAGAATAATCGATTAAATTTCGTAGGAGTATACTCCAAAAATTTATTTATATCTTCAAAATATAAAACTGCTGAAACATAAAGCATCGCCTTAAAATCGTAAATTTATTCTTATATTTGTTAAGTTCTCAATTAGACATTTCTGATGAGACAGAACTAAATTTGCAAATGATTCTTTTATTGCAAAAAATCTTTTTGGAGGAACAAAAATACCCAACTAAATAAAACAGTACAAAATAAAAAGTACTGTAAATATAAATAGTTATATAAAATATAATTTTATAAAATATGTCTGTAAAATATTTACTTTAGATCAAAACGAGTTAATTTAATACATTTTATTTACCTGTATACAAAAGTCAACTTTCAATTGGAAAAATATTTTTTTATATACGTAACTTTTAAACAAGCTAGAAACTGCTTGACATACATGTTTATTCGTTTTAGTGTAACATATTTCCAGAATATGTAAGAACAATACATATAGAATATAATTTTTTTAGATTCTATCCCATTGGATATTCCATAACTTTATAGGTATATAAGAAAAAAGATACTCAATTCTAAATGTAAAACTAAGATAGAGAAATTGTAGAAAAAGGAAATAGTGAGACTTTAAAGTTTACAGTACTGTGCTGAATTTTACAAGGTGCGTTCCAAAGTAAACAGGACTTTTTAAAAATAAAAACAACAAAAAGTTTTCTTGGTAAAACCGATTTGTTTTATTCAAAATAGTCTCCTTTCAAATCAATACAACAACTTGCAGTCTAAATGCATGTCGAATGAGTGTTTTAGATTGTTGGCCGAGATCTCCTTCAGGATGTCGGTACAAGCCTTTTGGATGGCTTCCACATTCACAAAACGCTTTCGTGTCATAATCAAAAGCATTTTTCCGAAAAGATAAAAGTCGTACGGTGCCAAATCAGGCGAATACGGGGAGTGGTTGGCGCATCTTTTGAATGATTCACTACATGAAGAATAATTTCATATAAATACTTCTTTGTTCTGAAATACAATAGTTAAGAGCAAAAGTAACATATCAAATCCTACTTTTGTTTGCCGTTTTATCCTCGCCTGATGCGGTTAAATTTCAGTATTTTTTGCTTTTAAAGGCATATAATAATAAGTGTTTGTAGTTGTTTTTACTGTAAAAAAGTTACATCTTTAGTACATGACCTGAAATAAGAATTCATTAGGTAGTTAACACCCACTATAGCTTATTAACTACTTTAAAATTAAAAAATGCACGAAACCCTGACAAGTTGTAATTTGATTATATCATATGTATATAAGAAATTTTGTGCTTTTTTAAAAACCCCATTCTGTAATCTTCAATAGAAATCTCTGCTGTTCAAGATGAGCTTATAACTACTCCTTCTCATAGTTATTTGAAGGGATAAAAATATAATTATTTCGGCAGGAAAACAAATGAACAAAAATGGCAAAAATAATACAATTTGTTTTCTATTTTTCTACTTTTGTGATTCATTTCTTTTACATCTTATGTTACCTAAGTCTATGTCATAACTGCAGAACATTATTTCGGAATTATTTAAACTAAAACACCTTAAGGGCTTTTTTCAAGAATTTTTTTTGAGCATTCTTTTATAATAATCATGAACAACCAATACACCAATCGATTAAGCAACTCTTCAAGAGTAAGAAAAAAATTTTTTATTGAAAATTTCTTGCAAAATGGCGGCTATAGGAGGGTATGAAGAAAACTAAATTTTTCAAAGGTCGTCCGCGGCGAGCAGTAGAAGTCCCCTGGATCACCATTTGCAAACATAAAAATTTTTTTTTTCATAAACTACATGAGTTTAGCTAGTGAAGTACACACGATCATAATTTTAGGAATTTTTTTCGCAAACTGGTGAGACATTGAACAAAAAATTCGAAGTTTCGACAAAAAAATCGACTTTGATTGTTTATAAAAAAAATCCTGTGGACCAAAAATTGTAAAAATCGTGTGTACTTCACTAGATAATCACACGATGAAGTTACAGTTCAATTTTCAAGTCGATCGGATGAAAACTCTTCGAGTTCTGCTGCTCGCCGTTTTCAAAAACATGGTTTCGGGAAAAACGCGTTTGAAGTTTGAGAATGCTGTACATTTGAAAATCATAATATGATTCATAAAAATTTTTTTATCATCACTCTGCTATCCCGGCACCATATAATTGCCCTTCCATGGCCGTATTTTGCTCTTCCTGCTCCTTTCATGGTCATGAAATCAATGAATGATACCCAAAAGACTCATTTACTTTTCTTTTACGTTTATCATCATCAAGTTTTGAGTTTCTTCGCCGACGCGCTCACGAACTCCGGATCGCACTCGAATGAATGAGGGTTAGCCGGACGTCTACTTCCAATTTTACTTCGGTTACGGGCTGTACTTCGGTTTTTACTGCCTTTACGGCCGGCATACAACTTATCACTCATATTTCATCACTGCCACAGATCAACAAAGTCAAATAATAACACAAACACAATAATAGCACAACTCGAACTACAGCGTACAGCTGATTAACGACGCACGTGCTCTAACCATCGTAAAAATCTTATATTCAGTATACCCGGCTGGAAAATCCACATGGTCCATCTGCCTTTACATGAGAGCGACAAAGTAAAGACATTCGTGCGATAAACAAGGATGGCTACAGTGAAGACGTTTCATAATCTGAAGTCATTGGCCGTTCCGGGTTAAAAGTGGGAGTGACTATTCAGATTATAAAACGTTTTCAATGTAACCATCCTTGTCTATCGCACGGATTTCTTTACTTTTCTTCGTCGCTCTCATGTAAAGGCAGATGGACCATGTGGATTATCCAGCCGTGTATAATAACGTTTTTTTTTTTTTGGTTGTGATGACATCTATGGTTCACTTTTAAAGTATTTTCTCGATAATCGGTAAGTTATAGGCGTTTTTACGAGCAAGAAACTCAAAAATGCTGTATCAACGATAGAAGCGAAATCTGCTATTTTTACGGTTCGGAATTGCTTCGGAAAAATTAATTTTAAGGATATTTCCGAGTTTTTTTCATGCAAAAAAGTTTTTTATTATGAATCTAGGAATGTTTTAGTGTACTTTAACACAATAAAAAAAATTGAAAAAAATTTTTTTGCGATATAACCCCTTAAAGTAGGCGCTGTCAGGAAAAATGTAAATTGAATTTAACTAAATACCTTTATTAGCCATAACCAATCGATTCTTTTTTTGGACTTTTGACTGTTAAACCGGTTAAAATTGTATTTTAAACAAAAAAAGTTCCATCTATAACTTTTGTTTGTAGAACTAATTTTAAATTTGTAATAAGCTAATTTCAAAAATAATAACTAAAATAAGGCTCGCTTTTAATAGTGAATAGAATAATTTTCCTTGAGGAAAATATTACAAAAATAAGTAATAGTCCAGTCACTGAAGCATGTTGGCTACCAATTTTTTCGGATGAAATAGATAGACATGAAATTTAAACTGTAGCTAGGGAATAGCCCAAGAAACAAAAGTTATACAGGGTGATTCATTAACAATGGTAAAATCGAAAGCTGAAGATACTACACGTGAAATGATGACCATTGGCGCAAACATACCTTATCCGAAAGTTGATAGTTTCGGAAATACAGGGTGTTGAAAGTTAAAATTTTAAATCGTTTTTTTGCGATTATTCTGAAAATATCTGGGTTAGGAACTTGAATAATACAAAATTTATGGAAAAATAATTGCTCTTTTACTTTTAGATTTTGAATCAAGTTTCATGTTAGACATACAGAGTAAAAAGTTATTAACTAAATTTTCGGTAAAATTTGTCGTAAGTGGCGCCCTCTATGAGCAACGCTGAAATTGCAACACGCACCTTATTCGTCGCTTAAAAAATATAGTTTCACAAATTTTCAAGTTCCTAATATTCCCTTGCTAAATGTTGACAGATTTGTATTCCATTGAATTTGTACTCAGTGAATTTTTGTTTTAAATTAATTTGTCAAACTTTCTGCAGTCTAAGTTGCATATCAGAGGTATTTTTTTGTAAACTTTAACATCGCGAAAATTAAACTTTTAAACCCTTTAACCATTAATTCGTTTTGCTCCAAAATTAAGCAAGCAATTCTCTGACAGTCCACGATATACCCTGCATACCATTTTAGATAAAACTGATGATATTCACAGATTTATCAATTATATTATACAATGAAAGATATTTTAGTTAAAATTACCTAAAAAAAAAACAATAGGAAAACAGAAGCAACGCTTAATGGTATTAGAAGAATTAATTAACAAATTTAAACAATCACGTTTTGTGAGGATACTGTTATATACTACAATTTATTTCGATATCCTTAGATATGGTTGCTATTATTTACTTTGATTTTAAGAGGGATGCATTATTCAAATAAAAAAATTGTGCACCAAAAAGATAGAAAATATATTTTCACTTACATTAAAAATGTTTTATTTGTTTGCCACCTTTTCCGTTATCGTAAATATGTTTTTCCAGTGTCTACTATTAAGCCATTTAAAAAATATATATTAAATTAACTTACTTTATAGAGGTACCATATCTAATTAAATAAGCAGGGTAATGAAAGTAGGAAAGTTATTTTGCTCACGCTGTACAAAATATGAATATTTCTGATAACATCTCCATCGTTCTGAAGAATAAGTGAATTAGTGATTACCACATAAGTCTATCTGACACGGGTTTATTTTGACATGGCAACAAAGTTAAAGGTGGAAAAAATTAATCAGATGTGATTCAGACCTTATGAAATACACCTGCAGTGTATTTCGCAAACCATTACTTCTTATCTTTCAACGTGTAGGAGCTACAAGAATCACTGTTGTTAGTATTTAGTTGAAACAATGTAAATGGCAGAATAAATTAATTAAAGAGTTCCAGCTTAATGTGTAGGTTTGAAAGAGATAAATATTAATGTAAGTCAAATGATAATGTGATTTTTTTAATTTGGAAATAAAGTAACATCTATTGATCCAATAAATAACTGATATTTGATTAAGACTTTTGTTCAGTGTTATAACGTTTTACAAATGACATGTTTTACAAATAAGGCTATAAAAGACATTCTTTTGTGATTCCAGTGATTTATAATCTTTGATGTGTTTGTTAACAGATGTTAGTGTAAGATAAATTTACAAATTTTAGTGTCACTTTAACAAGAACATATATTTTAAAACTGGAATTAAAATATATATTTACATTTTATAAAGTGATTTTTTATTCAATCAAACCAATAATTTAATTTGACACTAATCTTTTTTTAGAATAACGTAATAAGTTCTCGGGAAATGTTCTTTCAACATAAAACAATATTCTTTCTACTTATTGTATATTAATAATTCATATGTATAACAAAAACAAATTAATAATAAGAATAACAAAGCGAAAAAATATAACAAAATTTACATACACGATTCAATTGTTTTAAATTATCTATTCTTCTGCAAAGAACGGGCCGCGATCCAATCTAGAGCTCTTTGAATTTGTGGTGGAATAGGTGGAGGCGTCGGCAAATGGTCTCCTTGGGGACGGTACCCATTCTCATCAGCAACGTAAGAAAGATGTATTTCTTTTCCATCTGGAGCAGTATACAAAAAGGATCCTTGCACCACCAGGTCTACATTTTCTTCATTTATACTACGGGCTTTCCCTTCCTCCTGAACAAAAATTCCATTCCCAGTTTCATACCTACATTAAATGTATTCTATAGATTTAGAAAAGAAATCGTTTTTAATCTCATTAACCATATTAGAAATATCTCATTTATATTTTAAGCTCACACTTATGACATCTGAACAGTCATTTACATCTGAAAAATCATTTACACGTCTTTACACGTCTTATCTAAATATTTACCTTTCACAGGGCATTAGTAAAATTTCATATCATCAAACAGATGTTTGTAGAAATATCAAATATTTCAAATAATTTTTATAAAGTATTTTAATTTTCTTTTCTCTTGAATGAGTTATAAATTTGTTCAAGATAACTGATTTTTATTTTCGAATATTTTCTTAAAATTCATCGGAAATACTTAAAAACAAAAATAGATTCATACGTAAATTTTCAATTTAATCAAATAACAAACTAAAGTATTTGTTTGACAGAAATTGTTTTAAATATCGTGATATTTCAAAGTAGTTATACCTTATACAATATATTTAAATTAAATATTTTTTACCATGTGGAAAAAATAAAAAAATTTAAAACGAGGTTGTAAAACTTAAATTAATATCCAGATGTCTAAAGTCTAAATTAAAAAAAAATAAAGGATTATTAAGATATAGTAAAATATATGATATCTGCCATTTCCTTATTCTTTATTTTCAGAAAAAAAATACCCTTTTTTTAGTGTACTATTCATTCCGAAGATATCGGAAGAAAAACTAGAAACACTATACTGATATAATATATAAAATTCTTAATTTAACATTAATTTAATAATTATTAATTTTTATCATAAAATCTGTTGGTGGCGTTTGGCCAATTAGTATTTGAACATCCTATGTAAGAAATATCTGGGCAAAATAAACATTACTAAATTCTGTATGGCTGTATTGGACAAAATTTTTAATTTAATAAAGAAACATCACACATTTCGCAATAAAATTTTCCTAAATCCAACGACAAAATTCGGTCGTGTGTTTATTTTTCACAGCTCACTAGTATTACCTAATTATCAAATAACAGTTATTTTAATCTTATTTTAATAATAATCTATTTGAAAATTGGAAACTCAAATGCTATCATTTATACTTACAAGTATTCATAACTTCCATCTGGATAAATATCCTGAAACTGCCGATTTATTTCTGTATTCTGAGGAAGAGCATAAATTGCTACCAATAATAATGATAATATAACCTACAACATTTAAAAAACATTTGTCAAATATAGATCAATTTTAATAGTTATATTTTCGAAATGAATTATATATCTGCAGTATACAATATATTTTCGAAATGTCTGCAATATGTTTTAAATGTGAATAAATAAAGTATCGTTTCATCTGAAATAAATATCTAATAAAGTAATACCCAATAAGTCTGATTTCCTAGAAAAATTAGAATAGACGTTCAGTGATTAAGGGGAAATATATAACCGCAAGAAAGAGAAAGTTTATGATGTTATCAGACACAAAAATACCTGAGATTTGGTTCGAGGTTACTTAACCGCTTCCAGGTACCTTCATTTTTTAGGAACATTTTTACATACACTATAGAAATTTTTTAAGTTAGATGACTCAAAACTCAAGCTTTTCTAGCAAAAATTCAATTTAACTTTATTTTTGAAACAAAAAGAAAGAATTCGAATCGAATACTACAACGGTTATTTCAAATTCAGATCATTAATATTACGTGTCTTAAGTAATATATAGAAAGAATATCGAAAAGTTTAATATTTTAAATATTAGCGAAAAATAAAAAAATGCTTTTCTGTTTTCTTACAGAGCACATTAAAAGTTCTTTTAACCAATTTTAAACTTTTACATTTTCAGAAAACTTTTTTAGAAGAATTCCTTCACGCTGTCTTTTACATACGAGTATAGGTAGTGCATGTACTATGGTTTGATTTTATGACAATCATAATGCATTATTTCTCATATGATAGGTCTATAATAAATTACATGTATGTCTTAATAATAATCATTTTGTCTTCATTATTTTAGGTTCTCTTCACAATCTAGGTACTTAAGTACCTTTTAATTTTTTCCTGTCGATAATCGTGCGAACCTATTTTAATTGAATAATCAGTAGGTATTAAGACATTTCTTATAACATATACATCAACGTAATAGCTGTTTTACATTGACAATTTATTCATGAATAAATTGACGAAGTTTTTCATGAATTAATTCACGAATTTATTGGTAAACAGTGTGGTTTTACACTGCTACAAACTTTGTCAAGTTTTTTGACGTATGAATCAGTTCTACCAATGAATCAAAGAAGCAAATAAATTTCAAAAAGTCACCTTTCCACTCATAATTGTAGTGATACAACAGCGGTACCGTTCTGACACATACATATTATATAAATATTAGTTTTTGTAAGTAACAAATCAGTAAAAACAATGCAAAACTAGCACGACGCCACACAATTATTTACATATTCCAATAACATAACCTCATTACTGATCTGAGGCTGGAAATCTGTTGGGTTGGTACTTCTGAACTTCACGAAGAAATTGACGAAAATTAGAACATGCATTCGTCAAGAACTTGATGAATAAATTGATGAAGTTATTTGACAGCAGATTTGGTGCATTACACTTGTCCAATTTCTTGATGAAGCGACTTCATGAATTAATTGATCAATAAATTGTCAATGTAAAACAGCTATAACAGCTTGTACCTGTGAAACAATGGACAAATAAATGTTTCATTGTATAAAAGCAAACATACTAATGATGTCACGTTTGCTTTTCTAAGATATCTGGCCACTACTAACCTACGAGTATTTCTCATCAGGTTTTATGAAGTAACATCCACATGATGATTTATTGTATAAAGTATAATTTATCTCAAAAATATTTTTCTTCGATAATGACGTAATATCTATTTAATGTTACTTAGTTTAGTAATGGTTTTTCAAAACGATCTTTATGTATTTAAAATCAGTATAATTTGGGATGAAAGTTCAAATTATTCATCATTTAAACTATGTGTCTTCTATAATAGGTAATAAATATAAATACACATATATAATTGATTTTAACGTAAAGTTTAGCTATAATCTAACAATGCCTGACAATTTCTGCAACTAATTTAAATATTAATATCCCAATTATGAAAATTGTTGCAAAAACGACGCAATTTTCAGTTCATATTAAATATTCATATTCATATCTGACATCACCAAATTATTTACAAAAATTCCTTACCAGCTTGCACATTTTAATGGCTTCACAAGTAACTTGCGGCGCTGCAATGGCATAATCAAAGAAAAAAAACATTTATATAGGTAGGTATATCTGCAGCGGACATCCTAAATTTCTTTTTTAAGGTTACAACAAACATTTTTATATTACGAAATTGCAGATAAAAAACACTATTTATTATCTAGAATTTGCTATGCAAAATTTGTCCTTGTCTACATTGTTCTTTGTTTCTTCGAGAAGAAGTAGTTGTATTTCGCTAATAAACATCATCATCATGTCCATGTGTTATTACCGACTCTGCAATTCTTATAAGGTTTCTGTAGATATACTGAGTGGCTCTATCTCTTATTTCTTGTCCATTAGAATTATTCATGAAGTACCCAACATTCACGTTTTGGAAGTGGAAAGTGGAACAGGAAAGGCTATATCCTCTATAGAAGCTGTGTGTAACTCGATAACATGAACAGCAGGTCACCACAAAATTCCGCATAAGGGAAAGAGACCTAATGACAATATTACGAAACCACAAAATCACTTTTGGAATAAGCCTCTACAACTTTCTAAAAAGTCGTTACAGCTCCAAGAGTACGCTATGTTTTTTTGTAATTGGCTTACGATAAGGTATATTCAGGTTCAGTGGTCATTAACAATAACCTCCAAAAATTTTACTATTCGTCTTTGAATAACTTTGTTGAAGATCTTGACAATCTTCTACTGTGTCGTGAAGATATTGAGGACTGATGTGTACTTTATATGTATTAACACTTAGATCTCGTCCTATATATCAGATCTTTATTATGATTAAAGCTTTTTGAGTAAGCTCACTGACAGCGCAAGGCGTGGACCACACAAAAACTGAAAAAGTCTACAGTCGCATTAACCGTAGCCTTATTGAAGTCAGGGTAAACTCGACGATGCCATAGCATGGCTTCTATATCCATTTGGCTACGATGTCAAACCTCTCAGCTCATTCTGCAGCATCGTCTAAATTGTACGAACATAGTGGAGCGTCGATCGAAGCTTCAGATTCTGGTAGAGGCTAGAGACACGAACAACAGCTATGTACAGACATCGCCATACCACTATGGCCGAGTAGATATTAATGCATATGTTATTGTGCATATTTGTAAATCACGTAACTATTGCTTGGATCTCAAGCCGAATTTGAAGTCTCGACACTCCACTACAGTTTTTTTAGTTTATATACTACAGGTGTTGTGCCGTTTCTATAGACTGTAAACCGTGGAGTAACAGTGTTCCTTTTTAACTTGCTTGCTTATGTAGAGGGTGATTAACAACATATCCAAAAAAATTTGGGAATAGATGCAACATGAGAAATGGAGTCAATATCTTAAATTTTTTTTGTAAAATCCTTATAGTATCTGAGAAAAAAATTGTTGAAGTTGTAGTACATTCAACCATTACATAGCTGGACAACTGTAGTCTCTAGCGTCATTCGCAATACGCGTGGAAATCCACGTGGCCTGAGCGACTCCGAATACTGAAATCCGATTTTACAATCAGCATTGCGTTAGTGTTTACCTGTTATCTGTGGTGTTCACAATAGTTTTTTAGTAGTTAGCGTCAAAAATAGCTTGCGTGTATAACAACTCGGGAGTTGATGGATATCGTTTTAATTTATGGTGAAGCAAGATAATATTTTGTATTATGGTGAAGCATTTGTGTTATGGTGAAGCAAGATAACATTTGTATTAGGTAGGTCGTAGAAATTGAGTAAAACGGATCCAAATGTGTTTCCACGTCAGTGGATAAAATTTTGAACAGTTGTTATAACATCAGGTATGTCAAATTATTTTATTATTTAAAACCACAAATTAGTTTTATTAATAATTAATGATAACAATAACGGCAAAAGCAGTTGAATTTGCTGATATGAAATAGATGCTATAATATATGCGATATTATTTTACAGTGGACCAGTTTCCAGTGCCGTGCAGAAGTGTATTTTTAAATCATTTTCGAACTGCCCTTTTTGATTTTCTCTTTACAAAATTGTATTTGTAAGAGTCCCCTGTACATCAAATTTTTTTTTGGATAAGTTCTGAATCACCCTGTATATTTCCTGCAATTTCAAGAGATTTTTTTTATTTATACAAGGTGATCAAAATGCAATATAAATTTTCGAACTTCAAACGCTTTGGAGTATGAAGTCGAAATTGTCGTTTGAGGTTAGTTAGTGGGAGTAGAATCCATTTTTGATCCCTCTTCATTTTTTAATTTCGGCTTTTTTTAAAATTAACTACATAAAATTAAATTCATTATTTTTTTATATTCTTTAAGGTTTACGAGTAATTGAGCTTTAAAGCCGGGCTTGCCTAGCTGCAGAGTGATATTCCATTGTCGAGGTAGCTAGAAAATTTCTTTATGGGTAATAGAGAATATAACTAACAAAAAAAAGATAAAATTCATTAATCAAAATAAGTTCTGTTCTGAACATACAATTTTAGCCTTCAACTTAAGGACGGCCAAAGTATGTTTAGAATATCAACATTACTCACAAGCGTTTGCAATTCTTCTTTGCAATTCTGCTCGGGTATCAATTGTTGTAAATCTGTAAACCTTTAACTTCAAAAAGTTCGACATAGTAAAAACTGGTGAATTTAAATCTAGCGAATTAGTGGGTCAATGAATGAATGAATGCATCCTCAGCTCCACCAATCTATTTCTGTGGAAAATGTTAATGTGACTGCTCTTGTAAAATAAGGTGTAGCCCGTCATACATGAATACCATGTTTCTTTCAGTTGAAAAAGGTAATATTCTTAAAAAAAAATCAGGTACGTGTTATTGTTTAAACCTGGTAAAATATGCTATCCAAAAAACTTGTTTTCCATTGTTGCTAACTACGCATTATTTTAAAAGTATATGAGTATATAATATAGGATATATATGATATGATAAAGTATATGATGCAAACTATAAAGTATATAATGCAAACTGGACATTTCAGCTAGAAAATTCCTGCCCATATCTTCGGACAGCAGCATTGCAAGCTCTGTTTTTAAACTCAGTTTACTTTACTCTTACACGTTTTGCTTTATCATTGCTTTTTTAAAAAAAGAACTATGAAAATTAATTTTACGTAGATAATTCTAGGAAAAAGTTCTGCTCCATCTAACTCCAAACGCGGAATTTCCTTTCTTTTGACAACTAAAGGAGGAGGATCAATAAGGCCGGTTTTCGGCCCTACCAGAAATTCATCCTAATCATATGGAGTATGTTTTTTTTTGACCTTCAGAAACAATATAATCGATTCTAGGAAAAAAACAGATACAACCCCCCAATTCGAACATTATAAAACACTTGTTTATAATCATAAAAGTAAAATATTACTCTTTTCCTCCTCTACTCCCCCTCCCACTCAACTGCATAACCATAACATTCTAAAAAATCCTTAAGTAAGAATGTATATTGAATATAAAAGAAATTCTACATCATGTAAAACCAGCGCACCAATCAGTGAGAAGCAAGGGGACTCACATCAAACTATAACAAAAAATATTAGAAATGAACTGTAATATTATACTTACCATCCCACCAACCCTATTTGTATGCCTGTTTATAAAAGAGAAACAAGATAGAGGTACAGGGAAGAAAAAGATATACGGTGTGGACGGTCGAATTGAAGGAGGTGGATTGACCTATTTTTAAATTAGAAACATTTCAATATTATTTATATTAGACTGACAGATAAATGTTTTTGTGAAATCTCTTTGATATTCTTCAGTATCTTTCAGGGGTTACGTGGAAGGGGAAAGGGTGGTTATGATTATAAGCAAGTATATTTTACTTAATTTGTACATTAAAAATGTTACTTATATGATTCTGTGCATCAGATGTAAGAAAAAAGAGTTTTTGAGTGTTTTGGATGAGAGGTTTAATTCGTTTTGCCTAGAATCGATTTAATATTGTTGCTTTAGGTTCAAAAAACATATTCCATATGTTTAGGATCAATTTCTCATAGGGCCAAAAACCGGCCTTATTGACCCAATTGCCCTTAAATGGTCCCAAAATTTTTAACGAAATGTGGTTTTTACTATTGAAGAGTTGTAACTCACTAATTTGCAAATTCAGAAGATTAGTTTGTGTTAAAGTCCCTTTAACCTTTAAAGTTCTATACCTCTTAAAATATTTGTATGCATTTTGAACCGCCTTGTAGTATATGAACTAAGTTTTTATCTAAAACATAAAAATTGCTAGAATATTAGGGCCCAGCTATCCCACTTTCCCATTCTGATGTCCAAATAAACAAAATTAAATATTAAAAAAATAGAAAAGGAGTAGATTGAAATGGTATTCAAATTTCCCGGGAATTGATCATACATCTGGTCAACTGATTCACTTGTAAACACCTAACATACCTTTTATAAATTCGTAGCTTCTTAGTTGGAAACAAAGTAGAGATGCAACGGATATCCAATATGTGCGGCCTTTCTGGTTAATTTTTATTATCCGGCAAGGCATCGAAAACAAAATACTAAAAAATGCTACTTAAAAGACGTAAGAATTATATTTTTTCTTCTCAGCAAATGCTAAAATGTGCTTTATACAACACAATCAACAGATTAAGTAGCACTTTAACCCTAATGGTAGATAAAATGATAGTGTAACAGCAAGAGTTGATATAGTATTTTATTTTTTTTTTCTATTTATTCACATACAACTTGTTTTAAATTAATATGAACTTTAATCGTACAATTAACATTTCCAGAAATTTCTATTCTTGAGACAGAACTTTCTTCATGTAACAAACATGACAGAACTGCAAGAATTTTCTATTTCATCACTGAGTATTTTCTTCGACACTTCAACCTTTCCCGGTACAGAGTGTTCTATATAGGCTTCAGTCACTAAAGATAACTTCCATTCATCTGTAATATTGACTGCTATCAGAGCAGCACTAGAATTGGCAACATTTTCAATTATCAACGTTAGAAGTTTCTAACAGCCTCTAATGTAAAATCTAAATTTCTAAAATTATTGAAGACAATATTTATAAAAATTTCACCTTCATAAACAGATAGTCGTCGCGTCGTCTGAAGCAAGTCTTAAAAATCTCATAACATCATCCAGTTCCAAGCTTTCGATTTTTTAGGTTATTAGTTATTTTTTTTAGCAATGTAATCATGTCTGATGGTCGAAAAATTCTGATGAGCTCCTGGCAATAGTGATGGAGTCGGTATTTGTGTAACGGTATTGGTCAAGACATAGCAGCTTTGTTTTTCGTGTTTTTTGTTAGAGTAGGTTGTTTACTGTCATATTGACAGCAATACATTTTTTCGAGTCCGATCACAATAAAAAAAGGACCTACGAACTGCGACTTCTGCAAGCCTGTCAGATTACTTCACAAGTTGTTTATACCTGATTTAATACAAATTACAGTCCACTAATAAATAGGGTCTTTCATTACCATTACAAAGTTGGTCCTTCGAGCCGGATTGAACGACGTGTGGAAAATTTGTGTACGCTGGAAAGGATACGAGTGACAGAGGTTCTACACGTGAGCTCCAGCAGAAGGATAAACAACAAGTAGGAGGTAATCGACTACAGCCAATAGCTGAGGCAACTACACGGCGATGATTTGAGGAGAGAAGTTCCAGGGGCCAAGAAACAAAAGGAACACGTGCTTGAAGCAGTCGTTCCGCCGAGGCAGCGAAGATCAGGGAATTGGAGCTAAGTAGGTCATTCAGTAGCTGATTAGGACATTGGCGGACTCAAAATAGGGAACAAGTATCATTGAAATTGGACGGAAACTGGTATTTACTATTTATCACATTGGGTAGAATTAGGCTGCATAAAAGTCAGTACCAATTATTTCCTTGATTTCATATTCCGGGTTAATTTTTGCATGCTTTGATTTGGCTTATTGATACGTAAAGCTCTTTTAACTGAGTATTATTACAATGGCAGAATTAACAAAGCTTATGCGTAAGCGAGCAACTATCAAGGGACAGTTAACGCGTATCAATTCATTTATTAGGGAGTTTACTATCGACAAGATAACACAGATTCCAGCTAAGATACTTAAGTAAAGAGGTTTGGGTGTTGTTAAAACAAAGGTTCGAGAATAAAAAAATCATTACTATAGGTTATCTTGAAGCATTATTCAATTATGAACCGATTATTAAAGAATCTTATACCCATTTGAGAAAATTTCTAAATGAAGTCAGAAAAGATATTCGCGCATTAAAAACATTAAAAGTGCCGGTTGAGCATTGGGACATAATGTTGATTTTTATTTTAGAAAACAAACTAGATTCATACACAAGGCGTGAATGGATATAGATAAGTTTTCGACTTTAGAAGAATTTACGGGTTTCTTAGAACAAAGGTGTCAGTTCTTGGAAACGGTAAACGCACAGACAAAAAGGGTACCGGGTGGTAACGAAAATAAAATAAAAACGGAAAAGGTTCACACTACACTAAAATCATTCGTCGCTTCAAGTGAAGATGTGTGTTGGTTCTGTAAAGAGGGTAAACATGCATTATACCACTGCAGAAAATTCATAGATTTACCTGTTGCATCAAAGAGACAGGAAATAGGTAAGGCGGAATTGTGTTGGAATTGTCTAAAAAAGGGACATCGGGTTATAAAATGCAATTCGAGAGGCTGTAGATATTGCGGCAAAAGACATAATTCATTATTACACGTTGGTCCTGAGTCTCCAAGGGCGGAGGAATCGGGAAGTTCCGGAGGTACACAAGAGGTAGCTAAAGTGAAGCAGTTTACCTCGGGTCAAGTGAACTCAAGTTTCAGTGGACATAATCGTAAGGAGGCGGGTACGCATGAAGGCTTTTCAGAAATATTGTTGTCCACCGCGGTAATAAGAGTAGCGGATCAAACTGGACTTATGCATGAATGTAGGGCTCTATTGGATTCGGGGTCTCAGTCCTCATTTATGACACGTGAATTAAGAGACAGGTTACAATTACCTGCAAAAAGGGCAAATATTTCAATTTTAGGGATCGTTTCGGGAATTGCAAATATAACGTAAAAGTTACGTAAACGTCAGGCTCTACTCTAAATGTTCGTATTATAACTTTAGTTCATCATTTTTAGTAGTAGAAAAAATAACGGATAACATGCCTTCAACTAATATTTGTTCAGACATACTTAAAGTTCCAGATAATATTAGGTTAGCGGATCCGTCATATGGAAGAACGGGGAAAATTGACATGTTATTTGGAGTTACGGTATTTTGGAACCTTTTAGGTGAAGGACAAATAAAGTTGGGCACTAACAAGCCTATTTTACAAAACACTGAGTTAGGATGGATAATTTCGGACCCGGCGTCGGCAGCGGAAAATAAAAAATTGGTACAAAGAGTTCAGTCCTGTAATCTGGCATCCGGATTATCAGTACAGGATCAGTTAGAGAAATTTTGGGTAATAGAAGAGTATCCCAGGAAAAGATTACTGTCTGAGGAGGAAGAGGAATGCGAATTGATATTTAGGGATACTACACAAAGAGACGAAAATGGTAGGTTCATAGTGCAATTACCAATTCGGTCAGGGATTAAGGGATTGGGAGATTCGTATGAAATTGCGTTGAAAAGATTTCGTCAGCTTGAAAGAAAATTTATTCGGGATAATAAATTCATGCTAGATTATCATAAGTTTATTAGGGAATACATTTCAATGGGACATATGTCCAAGGTCGGGGCTCAAACACGGTACGGTAAAAGGAAAGAAATAAATACGCAAGGTGCTGGTTTATGTTATCTGCCACATCATGGTGTGATGAAGGAAACCTCGGTAACTACCAAGCTGCGGGTAGTGTTTGATGCCAGCGCCGCAACGAGCAACGGTATTTCCTTGAATAACCGGTTAATGGTAGGTCCTAATCTGCAAGAAGATATTTTTAATATTTTAATAAGATTTCGGAAACATCAGGTGACAATCGCGGCTGATATTGAGAAAATGTATCGCGTATCGCCAAGTTTTGGTACGGGAAAATCAAAGAGATTTGCAAAGAATTTTATGGCGCTTTGCATCGGATCAACCAATCGAACATTATCGTATGAACACAGTAACTTACGGTACAGCTAGCGCGGCATATTTAGCGGTTAGATGTCTGCAACAATTAGGGCTAGAAAACACGGTAAGGTTTCCGGAGGCAAGTAAGATTATTAGTAGTGACTTTTACATGGATGATTTGTTATCAGGTTGCGGTACAATTGAAGGAGCTAAAAAATTAAAGCAAGAAATTAGTCAAATTTTAGAGTCAGGTGGATTTATCTTGAGAAAATGGTTGTCTAGTTACAAGGAAGTTCTGGATGGTACGGATGAACGAGGTATAGAGTACTATATTTCTAATGACGATGGAATTGCAAATGTTTTAGGTTTGTTATGGAATTCGCGAAAAGATTCTTTACACTTTCAGGTTAGCCTTAAAAGTGATTCAGTTTCAAACAAGGTGACGAAGAGGTCCATACTTTCCATGAGCTCTCAGATATTTGATCCATTAGGATTAGTAGGTCCAGTGATAGTCAATGCCAAATTGATGTTGCAGGGGTTATGGAAGTTAGATTTAGGCTGGGATGACGAAGTACCATCGGACATTTTGCATTCTTGGAATAATTTTCAGGTTCAAATACAAAAATTGGATTTGCTGGAAATTCCCAGACAGGTGCTATGTGATGCACCTATCGACGTACAGATACATTGTTTCTGTGACGCTTCACAGGTATGCTATGGTGCTGCCATTTACATTCGATCAACAGATAAGGAGGGAAACCATCATGTCAATCTTTTATGTGCAAAGTCCCGTGTTGCTCCTTTAAAGGTCATATCACTTCCAAGACTCGAGCTTTGTGGTGCTCTTCTATTGCCAAGGATAGCGCAAGTAGTCATTGAGGCATTAAATATAAATTATAGCAGCATTACGTATTGGTGCGACTCATCCGTAGTTCTGTGTTGGTTGGCAGGGGAGCCCGTACAATGGACTACTTTTGTAGGAAATAGGGTAGCAGAAATACAGAGATTAACAAAGGAGTCGGCGTGGAAGCATATTAGATCGGAGAGTAATGCAGCTGATATTATATCTCGTGGCTTGGAATGGAAGCAGTTACATAGCTGTCGGCTTTGGTGGCAAGGACCTGATTGGCTCATTAAAGACGGAAGTTCTTGGCCCCAATCAAATATTAACAGGGTAGAAACTGTTCCGGAGCGAAAAACGGTAGTGCAGTCATTTGTAAATAAAGTTACAGTTAATCAACTGTAACTGTAACTAGTATATCTTTCAAATAATCATTTGGAAGATATTCTAGTTTTTGCAGGTTACAGAGGGTAATAGCGTATATTTTACGTTGGCTAACAGCAGAAAATTCATAGATTTACCTGTTGCATCAAAGAGACAGGAAATAGGTAAGGCGGAATTGTGCTGGAATTGTCTAAAAAGGGACATCGGGTTATAAAATGCAATTCGAGAGGCTGTAAAAATTATGTCTTTTGCCGCAATATCTACAGCCTCTCGAATTGCATTTTATAACCCGATGTCCCTTTTTTAGCCAATTCCAGCACAATTCCGCCTTACCTATTTCCTGTCTCTTTGATGCAACAGGTAAATCTATCAATTTTCTGCAGTGGTATAATGCATGTTTACCCTCTTTACAGAACCAACAGGTATTTTGTAGCGATATTTCTTTGTAATGACGTTTCACGTTATTATTTTTACTACCGTTACTCTGGAACGTAAAATTGCGCAAGTGCGAAACCGCAAGTCAGAAGAAGCACTTGCTGTAACGATGTGCAAAATTTAAAGAAAATCGGAACAAAAATATTTTGTAACCACTAACTTTGTCAATTTTTAGTTTTCTAAAAAATGTAAATCTTTGTGGTATTAATTTGTCGTGTAGTATTGACGGACACCCTGTATAAACGATGCTAAAGCATAGAAAAATCAGTGGAAGAAAAAATTACAACTCCAACAAAACTTAACGTCAATTGCCAACTGGTGCGATAAATAGTTATTCCCGTTAAATGCAGACAAATGTGTTGCTCTCCATATAGGCCGTAGAAACCCCATTTGTGCGTATTCCTTACATGGACAAGTGCTACAACAGTGATCCTCACAATGACCTAGGTGTCATTATAAACTCCAATTTATCCTGGTCAGTTATGTGGGGCCAATACGCCGGTTCTGTGTGGTGCCCTGATCTCATTCGAAACCAACAATATTTAGAAAGTGTTCAAAGCTCTGCGACCAGGCTTTCTTTTTCGACCTTCCTATGTGGAACGATTCTCCATGGCCCATCTCACAGACTATTAACACAGTCGCCTTCGAGGCGATTTAATTATGATATTTAAAATTCTTAAATTTAATTTAGGAAACATGTCTACAACTCGTTGAATACTGATGTTCGCCTCCGTGGTCAAGAACTACAGTTAAAAAAAAAAGTTTAAATCCAGAGCAAGGCAATTTTTTCTATCCAACAGAATTTTTACAATTTGGAACAATTTACCGGCTTCTATAATAATTTGCGCACCTTTGCTTAATTCATTCAACAGTAGACTGAATGGTCCGTTTTCAATAGACAGAGATAGAACTTGCCTTTATTATGTTATGTTTATTATACTTAGCTGTACACATTTTGTTAATTTTGTAATAATAATAATAATGGTAAATAATAACTATAAGAAAAGAACTAGAAGATATGAAAAAATAACGAAAATGTTAAAATGAAGTATGGCAAGAACTGTCAAAATGAACAATTGATGAGTGATGAGAATCCTAAAGAAACACGACAATAATGACATTACCTGATAGCCGCAGCATCTAAAATGGAGAACTAACCGGAGAAAACTATCACCCAGTATATCGATTTGACTAAAACTTTTAAAAATAATACGCCATAGTAGTCCAAATAAATGTGCCAAATTTTAACACGATCGGCAAATAGTCCAAGCATTCTGTAACGGATTAATGTTAAATTTGCAGAAATTATTACCTGGACAAAAAAAAATATGACCGTATAGAAAATTAAATTTTAAATTGAGTTTCTTGTTCTTTAAACTCGATCCAAAATGGCGAACATGGTTAAAAAAATCGCAAAGTTGCAAAAAACGGTTTTTCTAAAATAACTTAAAAAATATAGCACCGATTGAAAAATTTTAAATGAGAAAGTTGTAGGTTTTAAAAAGATCTATCGACTGATTTTTTGAAAGTATCGATTGCTTTGTTACTTTTCGAGATATATCGAAAAAACCGTTAAAAATCTTCTCTTTTCGCTTCTTCTATAACTCGTTTACATTTACGTGCCCATATTTGCTATTTACTGCAAGCATAGCCCGCGGCAAGCCAAAAAAGTACATTTTTGAAAAATTTAAAAATATTAATTATTTTTCGAGATATATCGATTTTTTGAAAAAAAGGCGCTCTCGAAAATTGGCTAGATCTTCTCAGCGGATAGCCCTACAGTAACGATTTTCGGTTTATTTTCTTCGTAAAGAGTTATATTATCATGCTGTTAAAAAATGTTGACGATTTTATTAATTTTAAGGATCAAAAAATGACTGAAAATGTTGCACTTTTTTTGGGTATGTTTTTTTCAAATAACTATTTCAATTTTTATTTTATGAAAATGACTTTTAAAGAAAGAAAACTAAACATTTACGGGTCTATTTTGCTTCTAAGGCGAAAATGCTATAATATTCGTGTTTAGCTACCCCAGATTAAGTACAAAAAAATAATAAAAATTGAAATAGTTATTTGAAAAAAACATACCCAAAAAAAGTGCAACTTTTTCAGTCATTTTTTGATCCTTAAAATTAATAAAATCGTCAACATTTTTTAACAGCATGATAATATAACTCTTTACGAAGAAAATAAACCGAAAATCGTTACTGTAGGGCTATCCGCTGAGAAGATCTAGCCAATTTTCGAGAGCGCCTTTTTTTCAAAAAATCGATATATCTCGAAAAATAATTAATATTTTTAAATTTTTCAAAAATGTACTTTTTTGGCTTGCCGCGGGCTATGCTTGCAGTAAATAGCAAATATGGGCACGTAAATGTAAACGAGTTATAGAAGAAGAGAAAAGAGAAGATTTTTAACGGTTTTTTCGATATATCTCGAAAAGTAACAAAGCAATCGATACTTTCAAAAAATCAGTCGATAGATCTTTTTAAAACCTACAACTTTCTCATTTAAAATTTTTCAATCCGTGCTATATTTTTTTAGTTATTTTAGAAAAACCGTTTTTTTCAACTTTGCGATTTTTTTTAACCATGTTCGCCATATTGGATCGAGTTTAAAGAACAAGAAACTCAATTTAAAATTTAATTTTCTATACGGTCATATTTTTTTTGTCCAGGTAATAATTTCTGTAAGCATTTCTCTATAATGCTTGGACTAAAAAGGGTTATGAAGTTATTAATTAAATTAGTATTATTTTTGACAACTTTGAAAGCTTGTAACTCAAAAACCAAAAATTTTTTATTTGAATAAGCAGTCAAACGTTGTCGGTGAAATTTGCAGACAACCTGTATATAAAAAATATATAATTGGCAATTTATACTCGTATTAATATCATTTTAATTTTGTACTAGAATTTAATTACTACCAGATTTATTCGCCGGTGTTTATTATAGATTCGTTATCTTGAACGATGTCTTCATACTCTACTAGATAAAATTTCATCATCCGAAACCGTAAACATATAATATTTCAATTGATTATATTTACACAGTTTTAAACGATTATAATAAATCGTATTTTTTTTATTACGGCAATTAGTACTTAATCGAAATCTACATTTACGAGGTCTGTTCAGAAAATAATCGAACTTTTTATATCACACGCTAATGGAGATACTTAGTGATATGCGGTTGGCGGAATTACCTTGTGCATAACCTCCTCTGCAAATACATGTTTGTGAATCGTTCATATCTCGTTTAGTTTTCGTGATATTGCTATTTGAGTGCAACGTGTTTAAGTGTTAGTGACGATTTTTGAAATGTGCGATTTTCTGGAATAACAGAGGTGATGCTCTGGGCCGTACGCAATGTTACGAATGGTTTTCACAATTTAAAAGTGGTCGTCAGTCAACTGAAGATGATCCTTCGACTTCGATGACCCTTCGACTGCAACTGATGACTCACGTCCAGAAAGTCAAGGTCCTGATGAGTGCAAATTGTCGATTGGCTGTCAGATAAATTGTAGAAGACGTTAGCATCTCAATTGGGTCATGCCATGAAATTTTGACAGAAAAACTGAACATGCATCGAGTTGCAGCAAAATTTGTTCTCGTTTGATAATGAGACAACGGAAAAAATTTCGTGGGGATGTTTGTCGGCAATTCCTTGAAAAATCCAATGACAATCAAACATTCAAAGGATCATAACGGGATACAAAAACTGAGATGCCGACTTGGGGACAAAAATTCAATCACAATGGATTGGCAAAGGATCTTTACGCTCCAAGAAAGCAAGTCAGTCTCGATCCAATGTCAAAGTGATGCTCACTGTATTTTTTTCGACTTTAATAGAATTGTGCGTATTGAATTCTTGCCTCAAAATGAAACAGTGAACCGTCCGTGTGTACTATCAAGGCATTTTACAACGGTTACGTGAAAAAATCAGCAAGAAGAGACCAGAATTATGGCGAGACAACTCATAGTTCTTGCGCCATAACAATGTGCCCGCACACCAAGCTTTGTCAATTCGTCAGTTTTGTGTCAAAAAATCAGATTACTGTCCTTTCTCACCCTCCTTACTCGCCAGACCTAGCTCCTTGCGATTTTTTCTTATTTCCGAAAATAAAATCAGGGCTGAAAGGAAGGCATTCTCATATTAGGTCACTTCACATGAAATACCAATAATGTATAAAAATGTAATAATGTAAATAATAATAAAATTTAAAAAAAATAAGTTCGGTTATTTTCTGAACAGGCCTCGTATAATCTAAATGGTCATGAGGGAATGTTCAATTTACTGTTAAATTTATTTAAGTACTATTTTGTTCACAACAGGTGAATTATATGTATTATTAAATAGTTTGTCTACTCGTAGTGTGGAATAATATATTAGTCACCTTTAGTTATTTTTATGAGCAGTTGCTTATTATTCATAATTATTGTGCAATGTCGTCTAGCCTAGCTTATAAAATGTGAACGACCACGTACGTAGTGTCTGCAGAACTTTCCAAAACTAAAAAGATTTATCTAGTAAGGAACGGGATATATTATGTATAGATTATATACATATGGTAAAATATACAGAGTG